AAAAAAAAAAAAAAAAAAAACACATCATAGTAAAATTAATACCTTCTCAGCTTCGCATCGAAGCTAAAATATGAAAATTGATAATGCATTTTTTGGGTGTTAGGGCATATTTAGCATATATTTATTTTTTGAAGTTACTAGAGCATATTAAGTCTTGTAAATTCAGGGGAATCTTTTTTCAACGAAGGTGAAAAAAAAATAAAAANTTGTAAATTCAGGGGAATCTTTTTTCAACGAAGGTGAAAAAAAAATAAAAAAATAAATTTTTAAATTATTTATTTTTTTAAATATATTCTTTTATGATATTTTGTGGGTTTTATGAATTTTAAGCAGTTTACTAGAATTAATATTATCGCACTATCACCACTATTTTCTATTAAACCAAACATGTGTATGGCTATCTATAAATTTATTTTCGTCACAACAATAAATATAATACATGCATAGAGGTACAATTCTTCTGACTAGCTTGGAACTATAATATTTTCGGCATCATTATATAATTTTAGACAAATTAAAAATTTTAAAAATTTTTTGCTCTATCAAAATATGCTATTTTAGATATTTAGTATAGCCATTGGGTGGGATTTAGGAGGGGGGCTAAATCCCTCACCAAGTTTAAAATTAGCCCTACAAAAATTAAGTAAAATTATTTGCATTGTTATATAAAAACTATTATTTGGAGGGGAAAATTTAATTTCGCACCTTCCCAGAAAATTTAAACAGTGTACTGATATGTTTTAAGAGCACATTTCACCAGTTTTTAGTGAATATTTGCGTACCTTTTTTTAGTTTTTTAGTGCATGAACTTACGAGCCCTGTTTATCACTAATAGAAAACCACTAAAATTAAATTATTTCATTTTTTTTCTTATTAATAATAAAAAATAAAAATATGTTTTACATAGTTTAAGAAGACAACAATTACTTTAAATAATTTTAATCAATTGTCAATTCTATCAAAAGCTATAAGCATTGACAATTGTCAAGACAATAACCCTATAAATAGGAACATAAGTGATTCTATTATCATGAATCATTTAATTAATAAAAAACCCAGCATAGTGGGGACGTACCATAGTTGGGTCCACTATAGATTTAATCTGACAGCGATTAAAATCACTATCTTAAGAAACGCTTCGATGCATATCTGTAGATAGTGTTTAATTTTAAGAAATTTGTGGATTATTCCAAAAGCAAAATAAACTCCTATTTTATGCTCAACTTTGACTGCCATTTACACATAGAAGATAGGTCGTCGGGACAAATTTTATTTTAGCTTCGATGCGAAGCTGAGAAGGTATTAATTTTACCATGATGTGTTTATTTTTTTTTTTATTTTTTTTTTT